ATTTGCATCATTCATCACTTCCCTTGAGAATTTGTGAAGTGTAAGTTTGAAGGTAATTAACTGCATGAGATCAAAACAGTACTGCTAACTTGGAAAAAAAGAAAAAACACCACCCACCCAACAGCTGTAAATATTTTCTCTTTGCAAAGGAAAGAAACTCCACTGATAGTATTTTCCATTTCTGCTGTTTCTCAGGCTTAAAAGCCTGCACACCTACTTTAGCTAAACACAAATGATTTGGGGCCACAGGAGATCCTCCATCAGGTTTTGTTAATTAGCACTCTCATGGGACTGCTTTGAAGATTGCGAAAGGTGGTGGCCTGGCCTTCTGCCTCTGTCTATGTTCTCCCAAACCTCTCATTCCATGCCACCAACTTCACCAGAAAACGTCGCTGCTGTTGAAGGGAGGGAGTCTGGTAGGTAGGAATTTCTGCACACGCACAGAGCGTGGTGGTCAGGGTAGCCCTTTGGAACATTCTGAGCTTTTTATTTTTATTTTTTAAGAGCAGCCCTTTCAAATGTTGGTCTAGGATCCAGACTCTGTGTTTTGCCCAGCAAAAGTGTTGTTAGGGGCAAATTCAGAAGTGTTGGGTTCCTTCATGATAGTCACACCACACCCCTGTTACGGAAATTACGGGGGGAGGGGCACAACTTAAAAGTTGTTAAATGTTACAAATATTATGCATAAATGTATCCTTTCGACTTGACAGCTCAGGGAAGTTACCTGGCTTTGACAATCATATAAAATCAACTCCTTTGCCAGTTTCCTTCATTCCAATGCTATTGCCCTTGAAAAAGGGACTCCAGGAAGTGCCTAGAGGTGACAATTGCTGAGCTGATTGTTGGCCAAGGAAAGCCTAATCCCATAACCAGACTTGCCCAGGGGTCCAGACATGCAAAGGAAGTTCTATTATACTTTGGGTGGTGGAACTTCAGAGGTGTTTGCCTATGCTAATCTTATACCTGGGTCTTGCCCTGACATGTCTGCTTATGCTAATCTTGTACCAAGGACTTGTCTGGACATGTTTGCCAAGGTTAAACTAGTGTAACCCCTGTATACCCCTCCCCTTTTGTGACATGTCAGTGATGTAGCAATGCTGTATCAATGATGCTGTATGAACTGTATTCTGGGATATGGTGGGAAAGTTTTAAAAGTCATTGTCACCCCATCCTCGGGGTTCAAAATTCCTCTTTGAACCTGTTGCACAATAAACTTTGGTCTATAGCTATTTGCTCTGGTTGGTGGCTGGATTCCTCCCTTTATTCCGCAGGGACCCGCAGGCTCTGCCTGACAAGCTGGGTGACTGAGCAGCCTCGCACCTAGATTTTTCTGTAACACTCCCTTCTAAGATTATACAATATAAATAAGCTTTCAGTCTCTTACTTCATTTGGAGTTCTGTTAAGCAATGAATGCAGGATGAGGGTATGTCCTTTTGAGGTTCAACAAGAAGAGGACAATGAGAGAGCAAGAGTTCGTTGATTTTTTTGCAGAGGGACTAACTGCTTACAGCAAGCAAATCACACACACACACGAAATCACAGCAAAACAAATAATTATATTAGTGGAAATCTGGTGCGGCGGTGGTAGGGGGAGGGAAGGGAATTTCACTGCTATCACAGAATTGTTCCTCATTCCCACAAAAGTATGTGAAGAGCAAAACACCCTCTTAAAATGAAACCAAGCACGGATTTCCAGTGCTTTGTACTTAAAAGCAATCTAAGTAATTAACCTTGACACTGCTGTAACGTTCTTTGATTACTAAGTTAATGGTTAATGTTCTCTTTATGGAAGCCATATACTTCCAGGATTTTCTTCCCTGTGGAGAAATGCTTCTGATACACCAAATGTCTGACCCTGTCTAGAGAAATGAAGGCTCTTTTTCCTTGTGGTAAGAGGCAGTGCTTAATTGTCTTAGATCCACACAACAATTTCAGACAACCCCCTCCTTTTTTCTAAAAAAAGTTGGGCATTAAAAAAACTATTTACAAACTGCACTTTCAGAGGAAATGTAAAAAGGTGGGGTACAACATAAAAACATAGCATTACAATAATGCCATCAGCAGAAGCAACAATGACATATAAATAAATAAAACTGGTTGGTTAAAAAAACCAACAACAACCTCAAGTCCCAAAGGTCTTCTGAAATTTTAAAAAGATGTCCAAAAGAAAGCAGGGATGACTCCTGCTAGACTTCTGTTGGGAAGAAGTTCCAAAGGAGAGGAAATGCCACATTAGGGGCTCATTCCCTGGTGAAGGCTGGGCGAAACTAAGGGGCAAGGGGGAGCAAAAGGAAGTCTGGGATAGCTCACTTGGTAGAGCAGGGGACTCTTAATCTCAGGGTTGTGGGTTCGAGCCCCATGTTGGGCAAAATATTCCTGCATTGCCAGGGGGTGGACTAGATGACCCTTGTGGTCCCTTCCAACTCTACAATTCTATGATTCTATGAATTGGGATGTCCTTACAATACATTGGGCCAAAGCTGTTTAGGGGTTTGCCAATTAGCACAAGAACCAGGCCTGGACTGGTAGCAATATCTAATTGGCATCATATCTGTGTGTGGTATGTGTGACTGGAAAAGAATATAGTATAGCAGCAGAAGCTGCCTTCATAAATCCTTCCTTTTCTTTGAGTAGCTGATTTTACTGGGGATGGTTAATGACTTCTTTGAAATATAGTGCAACAGCTGCAGATGACATCAGATTTTTCTGCCATATTGGGCAAGATGAACACACGGGATGCATCAAGGGCAGACTGAGCACCATTTGTGGCTTCCATAAAAGGAATGGATGGAGGTATCAGAATAATGACATCATGAGAAGTTTCCCCTTCATCTGGTTGTGCTTTAAAATGTGATTATTTTCAGAGTTCTTTATAGAAAAGGAACAAGAGAACACGTCTGCCAGAAGTTTCACATACATACACCCAAACCTCTGCAACACAACCTGAAGGCCCCTCTTCTGACAATTAGCATTAGCTAATAAGTAATTGGAAGGACAGATCCTGAAGCTGAGGCTCCAATACTTTGGCCACCTCATGAGAAGAGAAGACTCCCTGGAAAAGACCCTGATGTTCGGAAAGATGGAGGGCACAAGGAGAAGGGGACGACAGAGGACGAGATGGTTGGATAGTGTTCTCGAAGCTACCAGCATGAGTTTGTCCAAACTGCAGGAGGCAGTGGAAGACAGGAGTGCCTGGCGTGCTCTGGTCCATGGGATCACGAAGAGTCGGACACGACTAAACGAGTAAACAACAACAACAATAAGTAATTGCTCCAATAGTGAGTTTATCAAGGGAATCTGGATCCCATAATGCAGCCTTCCTCAAACTTGGCCCTCCAGATGTTTTGAGACTACAATTCCCACCATCCCTGACCACTGGTCCTGCAACCTAGGGATCATGGGAGTTGTAGGCCAAAAACATCTGGAGGTCCGAGTTTGAGGAAGCCTGCCATAATGTCTTAAGACAAATTAAAGAATAACAAATTAAAGAATGTCCTTTGTGACTTTTACTAACTTCTGACAGGCAGAAATCCACAGGTAATATTTTTCCATTACTGCAGCCCCAGGTTAAGAAAGCTTTACCTGTTACGCAGTGGTTAAATTAGGAAAAAGTCCTGCAGAAATAATGGTGGCAACCTGAGAGTCATATTAAGTAATCTGGAAACAGTAGTGTAGAAATGGTGTACGTTATGATTTATTTATTTCTTACACATTATTTCGCAACTTGGAGTTAATGCTAATTTTGGAGTGGTTCGCAAAATAAAACTCCAAAATTATACGACACACAATTAAAACAAAAGCATGTAAAGACAGCAGAGATGATAATGAGAAACCATACATTGGTACCATGGTTTACGAACTTAATCCATTCCGGAGGTCTGTTCTTAAACCAAAGTGTTATTAAACCAAGGCGTGCTTTCCCATGGCAGCGGGGGACTCAATTTACAAATGGAACACACTCAACAGGAAGCAAAACATGTTCTTATTCCAAGGCAAAGTTCACAAACCAAAACACCTACTACCAGGTTTGCAGCGTTCTTAATCCAAGTTGTTCATAAACTAAGCTGTCCTGAAATCAAGGTACCACTGTAGTTTCCTGTTACGAGAGTGTGCTGAGAGTTGCATGCTCAACTTTTCCTTCCCTCCTCCTTGCACAATGGGTAGAAGTTGAAAGCTTCCATTCACAGTTTGAACAACCTGCAGTTTCCCATTACCTCCCATTACTGAGGCACTGAATTCCTCAGAGGAAACCAAAGATATAAATATGATCACTGGCGGAGGAAGCAGGGTGTGGTGGGTGTGGCCCGCCCCGGGTGTCATCCCTGAGGGGGGTTGACATCGCCCCCCCGCCCCCAAGACGCTCGCTGTGGGCAGCACCCCCGTCAGATGCTCACCGCAGGGGGCGCCCCCCTGGGATGCTTGCCCTACCCCCAAATGTGCACTGCTCCAGGTGCCGGAGCAGCTATCTCCACCTCTGAATACGATAACATGAAACAGGCTATGATCCTTCTTTCCTAGCATCTCAAATGCCAGGAGGAAGTCTTAGTAAAGTTCCCAAGTGTCAGATGGGGAGTAGGTAAGGAAGGAGGAGGAGGAGGAGGCTTGAGGCAGCCTTTCCTGTTACATCAGCACTGCTCAAGGTAAAAGCATTAAGAAATACTGCTGCCAGTGATGGAAAGTGATGCTCCAGCCCATCCAATGAGCAAAGCTGCTCCTAATTACCTGCAGGAGCTCTTTGGCACAGTTTGTAAGCTCCATACATTGCACCTTTGGATTTTTAATGGACTTCAGCAACTTCAGATCAGCACAGTCAGTTCCAGGCCATGAATTCAGCTGCAGAGTGACACTTGTTGGAACACTGGAGAACTAGGGGCAGATGTATATACATATTCACATATTCACTAGTCTACCATTGCCTATTTGTGTTTTAAAGGTGTTGTAAGATGCCTCAAGAACTTCCCATGTTTTTTATGTTTAAACAATTTTTATTAAAGATTTTCCTTGTTTACAAAAGCACATGCATTGTCTCTTTCTTCAGGCTGTGTTTTCTACAGATCAGTTACAGTTGTTGTGAGACATTGGTGCTATATGCAGTATAGGGTTGGGAAGAAAAGAGGGCAAACGGGAGAGGGGGGTGGGGTGCTAAAGCTTATGTTCTTTCACCTAGTGTATGTGTGGGGGTTTTGTGTCAGCGTCACTTGGGTAGGTTCTCTTTCTATTTGCTTGTTATGTTTCCTTGGTGGTGAGAGAGGTTGGAGAACTTCTCATATGTGTAAACCCATATGTGAATTACCGTATGTGAATTATGTGAACACCCAAAACATTACCTATAAAATGGAATATATAATCTAGGCATATTTATATTTATATTTTACAGTGACAAATTTGGGTTTCCATTAAAGCTGTAAATCTTTAAGACGTAGCACTTGATTCAGTAAACATCTATGGATGGCATTTCTGCAGACGGCTGTTACATATAAGACTTGAAGGACTGCAGTGCAGGCTTCTCTTGCCAAGTGTGTGTATGATTTCCGAATTTCACTTAATTCCAAGTTCTTTAAAATATAAATAGAAAAGTTTTGGCTTGATTATTTTAGTATGAAAACCTAGCCAAATGAGGGGGTAGCCCCTTAGCACTGTTTAAGCACCATAAGGGAACTGTAAAACATAGAACAATGCATTCATTTTGCTTTGATGTTCAACAATAAAACTGCAGTTTTGTTGCCCAACAGCCGGTCTTATTTTAGAAAATTTATCATCCAAAGAAAGATGCAGGATATGTGATTCTAAACCTGTATTTTGCATCAACCCATAACAGCAACAAAGCTGTCCATTCATTTCACAGAGATTACTGAATGTTTGCTAAAAGTTAGCCCATTTTAAAAGGGCTCTTCTTGTATAACGGTCTTTAGGGGAAAATATAGTTGATACCTGTGGTCAGATATTCAAACATTGTATTTATTCTATTCAGGATGGGTCTCTTAAACTGCTGCAATTTCTTTTCTGACTTTTGTTTTTTAATTTTCAATCACTAGTTATTAATCAATTAAACTGGGTGTGTCATTAGCTTAGCAAATTGCTTACACCAACATCACCAACCATTTCCATGTAATTATTTTTTTGGCCACAATCCAGCACAGAATTATGCTTGCTTATTGGATTGTGGTCTTCCTCCACAAAAGACTATCCACACTAGAGATTTAAACTGGCTGCTAAGGAACCATGGTTCTGTGATGTAGTCTAATGATCTCTAACAGAATTTCTCTGTATCCCCACCAGACTACATTTTCAGGATTTGATGGGCAAAGGGAAGACATGCCTTAAAACTGATATATTTGTAGTGGCAGTTGTTAACAGTGATGCTATTCTAAACGAAATGCTTTCAATTGCAAACAAATATTAGGTGACATGCTCCAGCATCATGGGAGTTAAAAAGAAAAAAGCACACAGGGCACAATAACGAAATGAACCATATATTTTATGAAGAGCTATTTTTGCTAAAATTAGTATCTAATTTTGCATCACTCTGGGATTCTCATTCTAAAATACAAATGCAACTTCTAGGAACACAGGATGTAATAGTTGTCAATGATTTAACTAGAAGAGAAAATATTGACAATAACATATAGTATCAATAGGACTCTCAGTAGTCCTTAATTAAGATTATCTGAGCATATGCCCTTTCAGCAAAGATGCAATAAGTATTTAATAATAAACAGTTAAGAAACATTCCTGCTCCCTGGCCTCCAGCATCCAACAAGAGCCTTCCAACAGCAGAACGACACAGCTGGATATGACCTAGTGTTCTGGCCTCACAGTAGCCATGATTAAGGATTGTTTGATAATCCTATTGGCACACCAGGAAATATATTCTGGTCTTATGGATCAATCCAAGTCTCCAAATAAACTCTCCATGTCAGTGCTGGCCTCCTCAGTGTGGTTTTCATATTGCAAAAGAGAAGTGATTTCCTATGAGTCCCTTCTCCTGATGCTGAATTTCTTCCTGAATTTCTGCCTGAATTTCTTCTTGCCTCAATTTAATATTGGCCCATAAAATATTAGTTCTGTTTTCATAATGCCAAGCAAAAAAGCATTTTCTCCCACTATGAGGCTGTTGTTATTGTTGCTGCTGTTGTTTGTTTTGTTTTGTTTTGTTGTGGTGGTGGGGTATTTTCATGGTATGCCTTCTAAGAGAGTTGTTCCAGGAACAACTGCTGCTATCTGAGAGGCTGACTGGTTTGCACACAATTCCATAGCTGGTTTAAAATAAACAGGGACATAATCCTTCGGAAATTAAGATTCAACAGATGTAAAGCAATGTCAGGCTCTGGAAAGACATAACAAAATTTATGCAGCACTCAAGAGAGAATCCAGGGAGGAGGAGGCTGCAGATTGAAAACATCACTTTGGAGTCACTTCTGATGTTTTATTCTTAGAGGACAGAAAAGTGCAAAGCAAACAATACGTCAGATATTAGGCTCATCAGCAGGAGGCACATACATAATCATTTATGGACAGTGTGTGTAGTTCCACTGAAATGTCGTTTGTGTCTTGTCAGAAATATCCTACTGGCCAAACATAGCTGTAGTTAAATGGTAGTCTATGCCAGAATGTTAGGATGCCCCCAAATGCTCTAAATATCGACAATAACAATATCTGTAACGGAACTTACCTTATTGACTGAAGCTTGGAATTTGCGAGGCGACTGAGGGATCAGAGTTGAGAAGGGGCCTGGTTTCGCTCTCAGGAAGTGAGGCAACAGGGATGAAGCACAACTTTTTCAAGGCCTGGGGAAGTAATACAAATCTTATGAGGAAGAGAAGCAAGCTGTTACCTTCTGTTATCACCACAAAATGGTGATGCAGACGCAGAGCCAGTCGCAAAAACGGAAGCAGAGATGGCATAACCAGCAGGCTGTCTACTGATAGCCATTTCCAAGGATGACTTAGGTAAGGTTTTTGGCCGCTGTTTTCTTCCTTGTGGCAAAGAGTTCCATATTTCAGCTTTCCTCAGGTTAAGTCCATTTGCTCTGGAGGTATTGAATTTGCTGGCGTAGAGTCTCTAACTGAAGAAGGCTTTATTTCCTTTTACAGTGGTACCTCGGGTTAAGAACTTAATTCGTTCTGGAGGTCTGTTCTTAACCTGAAGCACCACTTTAGCTAATGGGGCCTCCCACTGCCGCTGCGCCGCCAGAGCACGATTTCTGTTCTCATCCTGAAGCAAAGTTCTTAACCCGAGGTAATATTTCTGGGTTAGCGGAGTCTGTAACCTGAATCGTCTGTAACCTGAAGCGTATGTAACCTGAGGTACCACTGTGTATTTTTTTTCCTCTCAGAGGGCTGTTACACATTTCCTGCAACTTCTTCTCCCACTCTCCTTTCACACTCAGCTTGTACCTCATCTCCTCCACCAAGAAAAGAAAAGAAAAGAAAAGAAAAGAAAAGAAAAGAAAAGAAAAGAAAAGAAAAGAAAAGCTGCCAGTGTCTTCCTTCCTTCCTGGGTTCAAATACCCACTCAAGCCATGAAGTTCTTGGAAAGGTGGGATATAAATATTGTACTACTACTACTAGTAATAATAATAATAATATCACTTATTCCTCCTATAACCCCTTTCCTTTCTATTCCACAAATTTTAAAAACAACAACCACATTTATTGATGATAATAAATATTAACCATTCACCTCTCTTTCTAATTTCCTTCGATACCTGCTATGGCCCTTTCCCCTCAGAAGGGAGAAACTTCCTAAGGACTGCTGTGCTCTGCTGCCCAGGAGGACTCTCCTGGGTGAGTGTCTGAGGGCCCTGCTCTTGCCGCTTACTACCTGGCCCAGGGCGGGGCCTGAAGCCTCACAGGGACTGCTGCGCTCTGCTGCCCAGGTGGACTCTCCTGGGTGAGTGTCTGAGGGCCCTGCTCTTGCCGCTTACCACCTGGCCCAGGGCAGGGCCTGACGGGCCTCACTAGGACAGTTGCTGTTACTGCTGGAGGGGTGCAGAGTGCTTTTAAAATGTTTTTAAAAAATTTCTTTTGAATTTTTTGTAAGTGGGGGGTGGGGGTGGGATGGATGTTTATTGGGCCTGGGAATTTGTTTGATTTTATGTTTTTGTAATTTTACTGTTTTTTGTTTGTATTGTTTTATTGTTTTTTTTAAGGTGTTATTTTGTTCTTAAGGGGTGGGGTCAGGGTTGCCGGGGAGTGGGTCCCAGCCAACAAAATGGCTGGGGCATGTTCCACGGGGGGGGGGGATGCACTGGGACAACCGATCTCAGTGATCACGGGTAGGAGGAGGAGTTACGCTAAGACCAGACCATGTCATTACAGAGGAGGCAGGTTTAGTCGTTGTCTGAGGACTATCCCTGCCTCCGGGTCTGGTCCTGACCGGATGGATACTAGCATCAGCAAGGGATACCCACATGACCTGAAGGTGCTGCTGTGCAATGCCAGGTCAATGATTCATAAGACCACTGCCATCCATGACTTGATCATGGATGGAGGACTTGACCTGGCATGTGTGACAGAGACTTGGTTGGATGAAGCAGATGGGCCTGTCCTTGCCGCTGCTTGTCCACCAGGTTTCTCTTACGCACAGCAACCCAGGTCATGTGGGCGGGGAGGGGGGGTTGCAGTGATTTTTAGGAAGTCATTAGTTTGCACCAGGCGTCCTATTGGGAAGACCCAGTTTTCCGAGTGCATGTTCTGGAAGTTGGGCAATAGGGGCAGTACAGGATTCCTTTTGGTGTACCGACCTCCCCACTGCACCAAGGATTCCCTGCCCGAGCTGCTTCAGATTGTGGCAGATGTTCTCCTGGAGACACCTAGCTTGGTTGTCCTAGTGGATTTTAACATCCATGCTGACACGACCTTACAAGGGGCCGTTCGGGACTTCATGGAAAGCATGGCCTCCATGGGGCTGTCCCTGAATAAGTCTGGCCCAACCCATAGCCGCGGACATGCCTTGGACCTGGTGTTTACCTCTATGGATGTTGGTGATCTGACACTAAGTAAAAGCAAAATGAAAGAAGTGCCATGGTCAGACCACTTCCTGGTGCAACTGGACTTCTCTGCGACCCATCCCATCTGCAGGGAGGTGGGACCAATTCGGATGGTCCGCCCCCGCCACTTAATGGATCCAAATGGTTTCCAGAGAGTGGTAGGGGATGCTTTATCCCATGTTGATGGCCTTTCAGCCAATTCCCTGGTGGCCCGCTGGAATGTGGAGTTAACCAGGGCTATTGACTGTTTGGCTCGAGCGCCCTCTCCGATTGCATGGAGCCTGGACAGCCCCGTGGTTTTCCACGGATCTGAGGGCAATGAAACAATCGTTGAGACGGCTAGAGCGCCGGTGGCGGATAACTCATTCCGAATCTGACCGGACACAGGTTAGAGCTCAATGTCGAGCCTACCAAGTGGCGATAGCGACGGCCAAGAAGACTTTCTTCGCCGCCTCTATTGCATCTGCAGAAAACAGCAGCAGGAGACTTTTTCAGATGGTTCACTATCGGAACCACCTGCGACATCTGGGCCCAGTACGGGCCACATGATCTCCTGCAATGATTTTGCAAAGTTTTTTGCAGATAAGATCGCTCAGATTCGGGAAGAAGTAGACTCCACCGTGGGAGCAGGGCCAGGGCGGGAGAGTGCTAGAGTCCTGTCTAGTCAAGTTGCGTGGGATCAATTCCAACCTGTTACCTCCGAGGATGTGGACAGGCTGCTTGGACGAGTGAAGCCAACCACCTGTCTCCTGGATCCTTGCCCATCCTGGCTTATAAAAGCTAGCCGGGAAGGACTGGGCGATGGGCTTCGTGGGGTGGTGAATGCTTCCCTCCGTGAGGGAGCCTTCCCAGACCCGCTGAAAGAGGCGGTTATTAAACCGCTTCTTAAAAAACCATCCTTAGATGCGGCCACGATGGCCAATTATCGCCCAGTCTCAAATCTTCCATTCTTGGGCAAGGTGATTGAGCAAGTGGTTGCTGAACAACTCCAGGCACGCCTGGAAGAAGTGGACCGTTTGGATCCCTTCCAGTCGGGATTCAGGCCTCATCATGGGACTGAAACTGCCTTGGTCGCACTGGTCGATGATCTCCGGCGGGCTAGGGACAAAGGTGAGAGCTGTTTCCTAGTTCTGCTGGATCTCTCAGCGGCGTTTGATACCATCGACCATAACATCCTTCTGGACCGTCTTGAGGGGCTGGGAGCTGGGGGCACTGTCATACAGTGGTTCCGCTCCTTCCTCCTGGGCCGTGTTCAGAAAGTGGGGGGGGGGATGAGTGTTCAGACCCCTAGGCTCTCACTTGTGGGGTGCCTCAGGGTTCTGTCCTCTCCCCCATGCTTTTCAACATTTACATGCAGCCACTGGGAGAGATCATCAGGAGGTTTGGGCTGGGTGTTCATCAATACGCGGATGATACCCAGCTCTACCTCTCTTTTAAATCAGAACCAGTGAAGGCGGTGAAAGTCCTGTGTGAGTGTCTGGAGGCAGTTGGAGGATGGATGGCGGCTAACAGATTGAGGTTGAATCCTGACCAGACAGAAGTACTGTTTTTGGGGGACAGGAGGCGGGCAGGTGTGGAGGATTCCCTGGTCCTGAATGGGGTAACTGTGCCCCTGAAGGACCAGGTGCGCAGCCTGGGAGACATTTTGGACTCACAGCTGTCCATGGAGGCACAGGTCAAATCTGTATCCAGGGCGGCTGTTTACCAGCTCCATCTGGTATGTAGGCTGAGACCCTATCTGCCTGCAGACTGTCTTGCCAGAGTGGTGCATGCTCTGGTTATCTCCCGCTTGGACTACTGCAATGCGCTCTACGTGGGGCTACTGCAATACGCTCTGCGTGGGGCTACCTTTGAAGGTGACCCGGAACTACAACTAATCCAGAATGCGGCAGCTAGTCTGGTGACTGGGAGCGGCCGCCGAGACCATATAACACCGGTCTTGAAAGACCTACATTGGCTCCCAGTACGTTTCCGAGCACAATTCAAAGTGTTGGTGCTGACCTTTAAAGCCCTAAATGGCCTCGGTCCAGTATATCTGAAGGAGCGTCTCCACCCCCATCGTTCTGCCCGGACACTGAGGTCCAGCTCCGAGGGCCTTCTGGCGGTTCCCTCACTGCGAGAGGCCAAGTTACAGGAAACCAGGCAGAGGGCCTTCTCGGTAGTGGCGCCCGCCCTGTGGAACGCCCTCCCATCAGATGTCAAAGCGATAAACAACTACCTGACATTCAGAAGACATCTGAAGGCAGCCCTGTTCAGGGAAGTTTTTAATATGTGACATTTTAGTGTATTTTTCATCTTTGTTGGAAGCCGCCCAGAGTGGCTGGGGAAACCCAGCCAGATGGGCGGGGTACAAATAATAAATTATTATTATTATTATTATTATTATTATTATTATTATTATTCCGTCTCCTGCCCACCTTTACTCAGATTGCAAGGAGTTTGTCGGTGCTGCTGTTGGTCTAAGCAAAAGGTTGTGGCGCAGCTGAGGGGCAAGGCAAGTGAGGCCTACCTGAAAGCGGTCCACTGGTTTGTCCCGGCCTACCGTTGAGTAACGCTGCCCTAGAACGGGACTGGATACTTGTGACCCCCTTGTGCCATGCAGTTCAACTCTCTCCATTATAATATCCTCAGCTTTTAAAAGTCTGCAGCATTCACTTATATTTGCTTGTTGTAGGCTATGGTGTATTCCTTTCCTAGCAGAGCGGCTATTCCTTGTTAACCGGCTGTATCAGACCCTCCAAGTTCCCCATTTTTTTCCAGGGACATCCCTGATTTAGAGAAGCCATCCCAGTTTCTGATTTAATCCCAGAATGTCCCGCTTTTCCTTAGAATGGCCCTATTTTCATTGGAGAAATGTTGGAGGGTATGGAGGTCCCCCCCCCCCAGCCGTCTGAAGACAATCCTAAATGGGGAAGTTTTAAAAAAAACTTTTATTATTTTTCAATATATGTTGGAAGCTGCCCAGAGTGGCTGGGGCAACCCAGTGAGATGGGTGGGGTATAAATAGTAAAATTGTCATTCTGATCTTGTACACACTGGTGTGCATTTTTTAAAAGAGAAGATCTTCCCATTTCTTGTTGCAATAGACAGCTGCTGTTGTAGTTTTGCAAGAAGGTACTGTATACAAAATTAGGAAAGATGTTACCTTTAATTAGGAGACTATCTGTTGGTACAGGAATATGTAGCACCCTACATCAGGCTAACCAGAATCTGGTATTGCTTGGAAGCTCAAATATTCCTACACCAGCCCAGCCCAATTTTAATCTACCATCTTCCCTATTTTGTATTTCAAATGTCCTCTGAAAACAGCCTGCTGAGTTTTGCCTGTCATCTTCTCCTCCCTTCCCTCTAGCCTTCACCACCCCTTTTCAGTCGTAACCTTTCACACACCCCTCCCACCTTCTGTCCTTTACAAGGACACAATATCTCCTTCCAAGTAGGCTTTACACTGCTTGTGTGAGCAGCTGACAAAGAGAACAAGTAATTTCTTAGCATTTCAATGTTGGGCTGCTTCTGGTTTTGTGAGTGGCCTGTGCACCTGTTGTGATAAGCAGAGCTCCCTTCACAGCCCAGTTGAAAAGAGGCCACTTCCCCCCCACACACCCTCGCTGTTTTGTGAATGCTAATAATTAAGAGAAAGGGTCGAAGCTGCAATGAATTCTTTAGCTTCACAAAACTTTGTGTTTTGATGGTCTAAAATAAAGGCAGCCCCTCCCCCCCCAAGCCTCTACCTCAACTGTTTTGTGAGTAGCCTACAGAGAAAGTTTATAATACAATAAAAAGGGAATAACCAGCTAATTGAAGTGGATGTTTGCTTCTTCCAACAGAG